ATTAGGTGTGTCAGCTTAACTGTGGCTTGTCTTGGTAGATTTCTTAATAGGTCTCCTGTTATGATATCATATCTTGGAGCTTTCTTAGGATTTATATTTTTTTTATCTCTGTTGATCCTTCTCTAAATGATGTCAATGTTATTATTTCTTCAGTTTGGAATGGTTCTTCCCATCTTAGTTCTTCACCATCATTGTCGTTGGGTTTGAACATACTTTCTAAATAATCTGCAAATCGTTTTGTTTTCTGTTCGTTACTTCTAGCCCAGTTGCCGTTTATATATATATATATATATATATATATATATATATATATATATATATATATATATATATACTAACTGTATAGGGCACTTTTATAACATGTCTTTGTTTGTTCTCTCGTTTCTCATTGTTTGTAATTTTTTAGCTAGGTACATAACATCCGCGGTAGTTTGCAGGATGGTTTTCTCCAAAATGGATACATTTTGGTTTATCTTCCGGTAGTTTTTGGCAAATTTTAGTAAGGTGTTTACCAATACATTTTACACATCTTGGCTCCTTTTTACAGTATTTCCACGTATGTACGTAATCCTGGCATCTTTTACATTGTGGGACTAATCTGGAACTCCTTAATGACTCGATTTCAACTTTCGTACTAATTATGTCTGTTATGCCGTAAATTCTATTTATATCTTCATCCTGTCTAAATGTTAGGATGAACATATCTAGTGGTTTTTTAGTTTTCCACTTGAATTTCTTGTCAGCGTTAAGGGCTTTATATTGTCGTTTTTGTAGGTCTTTTACTATTTCTTCTGGTGGCCATGTGTGATGTAATTTCTTAACAACAACTCTAATTGGACTCTCTTGCTTATTTTCATAAGTGCGGTACGAAAGATTACTAATTTCTCCATTAAAGCTCTGTAATGATCGCTATTGGCTGTATTAATTTTTATAACTTTTTCGTTATTGTTATTATTTATAAACCGTTTATGATTTTCGTAGTGAATGTAATACCCCCCTCAGTCAGGAGCTTGCTCAGGTCAACAGCACTTCGAAAACCTTCTACTTCAACAGGAGGTGGTTTTGGTTCTTTGATTGGTTTTTCAATTTGTGTTTCTGCACTTGATTTTTGCGGAGACGGAGGAGATAATGAGGTATCAATTTTACGTTTTTTGTTAGTTTTCCTGTTTTCGTGTCTTATCCAGCCCATTTCATAGGCTAAATCTTCTTTATCGGTGCAGTATTCAAGTTTATCCACTCAATTTATTTTGTTATTCATCAGCACTTGCGGTTAACCCTGTATGTTGTTCGGCTTTTTACAGCTGTGCTAATCTCTTTTCCATATCGGCAATTATTTGATTCAACCGTTGATTATTCATATTAAGTCTCTGAACATTTTCTTCTGACTGACACCATGCGTTATAAAGCGACTGCTCATTTTGTGTACGTTGTATATTCTCTGCGAACATCGCATTATTTTGTTGAACTAGTAGTGCGTCCGTTTCGGCATGAAAAGGAAACATTATAAATATTTAAATATTTCGCTTACCTAAGTCTACTTGAATTGATCGTGATAGCTTACAACCATGGCCATTGATATCACTCACGACTAATATCTTAATTACTTGATTTTCCTGTCTGACGGTTGAAAATTTTCGGGAAAATTAGAGGAAAAACGCCCCAGAACCAAAAAAAGTCACAGAGAGAAACCGTGTCAGACTCGGCCTAATGGAGAGATATCCAAAGTTTGGCGAGAATATCTATCATAAACTTTTTTGCCGACGGGCACTGTAACTGTATCATAAAATATAAAAAGTTCAGACCACTGTAGTGACATATCAGAATAAAAGCAAGCAAATATTGCAGTAGATTCAAAATCAATAGCCAATATCCAAGTACCTCTCCAAAATTAGCAAAAAGTATGTGTTGGGAATTTATCTTTATTGAACAGCCAGCAATTGACGGATTTGTAGTTTATTGTTTTTATTTGCGTAAAAACAACTCAAAGTCCTACAATATATAAAATTAACAATATAAAAAAACTAATTTATTCCCATTACTTACTGTTCTCTTGCTGTCTGCTAAATTATTAAATTATTTAAATTTTTCCCTAATCGGTGACAGTTTGTTTTCTGACGTTTTGATATTATATTTGACATAGTTTATAGAACAGTAGCAACGGGAAATTTTGGGTAACATAATAGAACTAAAAATTAACTAAATACATTGTATACAAATAATAAATATTCGTAACACTCCCACCCGGTACAGTTCTATGCAAAAGAGAGACTGTACCACTTATTTTTCATCATCTTTTTGGTCTCCATTTATAGGTATTGCTGCTAATTTTATAACAGGACGTTCATATATTCCACTTTTTGTTTGAACTATTGCTCGTCGCACTTGCCCATCAGGTGATTCTTTAACTTCAATTACCTTACCCTTTGGCCAATTGCATCTTGGTAAATCTTTATCACATATAATTACAATATCGCCCTCTTTAATTGGTACAACTTGTTTATGCCGTTTTGCCCTAAGTAGTAGTTCAGGTATGTATTTAGAAATAAACCGTGGCCAATATTTATTTGCAAATTGCTCTCTGTATAAATAATTAAATTTAAATACTTTAACATCTTCGTTTAAAAATCTAATTGGTTTATCTCCGTTTGAAGATCCAATTAAAAAATGATTTGGAGTTAGAGATTCAGATTCTTCAGATTCTATTGGAAGATAAGTAAGTGGTTTTGAATTTACTATGTTTTCTGCAGCTATGAGACAACTATAAAGTAATTGGTCAGTAGGGTTCCTGGTTGGTAATGAATCATATAACTAAATTTTAACCGCTTTCACTAGGCGCTCCCAGGCCCCACCCATATGGAAAAAGGGGTGCGTTGAAGTGAAATTTTAGCTCTGGGCTAATCAGTGAATTGGCTATTAATTTACTGTCAACCTTTTGCAGTTCTTCTCTCAATACTCGTTCAGCTGCAAATAAAATTCGTACCTCGATCACAATAAATATGCCTTTGTCATCCTCTTCTGTTAATAAAATTTGTCAAACAGTATAAAACTGTCCACATCTAGTTTGTAAGCTACTTCGAGATGGACTGCTCTAGTCATGAGACACGTAAATAAAGCTCCCCATTTTTTCTCTGTCCGTCTTCCAATAGTAACGTTTATTGGACCAAAATAATCCATACCAGTATGTGTAAACGGAGCAGTAAATGTTGCAAGTCTACATGGCGGTAGAGGTGACATTTCTGGTGGCTTTGGCTTAGCAAATTTGACCTGGCAATTTTGACAATTGGTCCTAATCTTATTAGCTAAAAGCCAATAAACCTTTTGGAAACTACCATATGTATTCTGACATTTTCAACAAAGAATTTAATATATTCTTCTTTGTCCTGAAAAAGGATCAATGCAACCTTTGCTTCCTATTTAATAACGCCAGCGAAGCTGAAAAAATGAATCTCGAGCGTGAATATCAAAAACATCAAGAAGAAAAAAATATTGTCTAGAGCTGAAAAGGAAAGCGACAAAAAAAAGTGTAGCGAGAACTTTTTAGTCGCATGTTTTGATATGCAAGCGGTATTCCAGCTGCCAAAAGGTGACACATCAATCTTCTATTATAGATCAAAACTAAATACAATGAACTTAACTATCACTGAATTGGTAGCGGATAAAACATGGTGCTTTGTATGGCATGAAGGCCAAGGCGGAAAAGGAGTGACCGAAGTGGCTTCATGTCTTTTAATGTATCTAGTTCCAAATTCTCCAAATTTGGAAATAGTCTTGTATAGCGACAATTGTGCAGAACAACAAAAAAATAGGTAAGAATCAGACATTTAATTCAACGGAACTCTCTCAATATTTCTTCTTATTTATTTCAGATTTTTGATAGCAACACTCATTTATTCAGTACAGAAATTTCAGATTAGAGAAATTACACATAAATTCCTTATAGTTGGCCACACCCAAAATGAGGTAGATTCCACACATTCCCTTATTGAAAAACAGGTATGAAATGGATAGTATCCATAGACGGATCAGTTATCAACTGAAAAATGTCATTTTTAGGTTATACGTTCTCTAAAATCAGGACCAATTTATGTACACCAGACCAGTTTATTAAAATAATAAGAAATGCAAAGAAAAAAGGGGAGCCATACCGAGTCAAAGAATTAACGTATGAAGGTTTCATGAACATCAAACAGTTGATGAATGACCTAGGACCAAATTTCAATATCGATGCAGAAGGAGAACAGATACCTATTAATGATGTTATAGTTGTTAGAGTGAAAAAGTAAGTATTTTGTAAAACTTCTTTCTCTCATTTTAAAACACATTTTAAGGCAGTCGATATTCTCAAAAAACCGCGTGCTAATGCTAAACGCATTCAAAAATTCACCTAATCGGACACAGTTGCCGACATTAAAAAAATCTTACAATTCGAAACGACAATTGACTGAGAGAAAAAGAGATGACCTACAGTTTTTGGTGAAAAAAAGAGTATATTCCTAAGTATTACCAAGTATTCTATGATTCATTATGTTAAAATATCCATGAAAAATTTAAAAGATAATTTCAGTTTATACAGTGTTTATGTTCTGTTCAAAAACTATTTTCTAATAAAAATCATAATTCCAATATGTTGTATCTTTAAATTCTTTTATATAGATTTTAACTATTTTTCGAAGAAAACTGTAACATATCAATTTAAAAAAAATTACTCATTATCTAAAAAACCGTTTTGTTTTATAAAAAGATTTAGGTAGATTATGAAATAATAATTTATTTACTGTTTTTTAGTGCTATTTGAAAATATATAAATTCACTTCCGGGTTCATCTACTCGCATTTTAAAAATGACAAAAATTGTTTTTGCTCTCCTGAAAAATTTTGTTATTTTGACTTATTACACTTTTCTTAGGAACGTGCGATATACCAAAAATATAAACAATTAAATTTAATTTAATCTAAAGGTTTCTTTGAGTTTAAAAGTTGGAAGAAATAAAACATACTTACTTTGATGTTTGATTCGATTTGTGTAATTTGGCTTTTAGATCTTTTTCCGATTGTTTTATTTTAGCTAGTTCCAGTTCTAATTGTACTTTATCATTTTTTAATTTTTCAACTAGTTCATGATGTGAATTACGTTCACTAACGACACATTTTTCTAACGTACTAACCGCTTTTTGTAGTGATAATACTTTTGGCTTTTTTCCTATTTGTGCAGTCAAACGTCGTATCTCCTGCGTCAATTCCAAATTTTCTTCTGTTAATTCATCAATTCTAAAAGATTACAGTGGATAATAGTATTGACTATATATTTGGGCGTGCTACTATAATACGATCTTAAAAAATAATAAGATAGTGGACCACGTGAAGGCGATGGAATCTGGACCAGAAAAGCGTAGAACAGTAGGTAAAAGTTGGTGAATATCTAAAGTTGAGAAACGATCTCTACATATGGTTCATGTAGCGTTCTAAACACATTCTTGTATCTGTAGAATATCTGAAAGCAGAAGGAATCGAATTATATAAAAAAAAATTACAAAGAAAGATGATTTTCGTACCAATGTTAGGTATACTGGATAAATTTAAACAACGATTTAGTATTTGTCTGCTAACTATATCGGGTGAAAAATTGTCAAGCGGCAAATCAGCCGTGCAGCCATTTATCCAGCATTTTGAAGACAAAGTAGAAGAACTGGGTCTTCTTCCTGAGCAAATCAATAATGCAGACAAGGGTGGTCTGTTTTGGAGACTCTTGCCTAACAAAACATTAGTATCCACTGAAGAAGCCAGTGTACCGGATTGTAAAGTGAGTAAAGATAAAATCACATTTATGCCGTGTTTAAATGCTACTGGAACATACATATTGGATTTGTTAGTGATTAGTAAAGCTAATCTAGCTAGATTTTATTTATTGCGGTAAGCGAGGTTAAACCTCTTCAATTTTTGCACAGTGTGAGGTTGCACTTTTTGGAAGCTTAATAATGTTGCCCCTTTTCCAACCCGCTGGAATGCACTTTGTTTCCTACACCTCTCGAACTATGGGGAGCAAAAGTTCAGTAGTTAGATGCGGATCAGTTTTAAGTATTTCGGCAGCAATGTTATTATCTCCGTTTTGGAAGGGACCTCGCAAGATATACGCAAGTCTACATTCTGCGGGTTTTCGACAATTTCATCTGCGTTTTCCCTGGGCGTGCCTAACATCTCCTGAAAATGCTCTTTCCATTTCTGCAGTTGATCATTTGTTGTAGTAAGTAATTCGCCTGTCTTGGATCTTACAATGTTTGAACCGTAGAGCCCATTTTTTGTTAGTCGTCTAGTAATTTGGTATAGCTCTCTAGTTCTGTTGTGTTGTGCAGTTGTTTCAGCTTGTTTTGTCAGTACTTTAGCCCACCTCCTTTTGTCTCTTCTTGAATTTCTTTTAACTGCTTTATTTATTGTTTCATATTCTTGTTGTCGGTTCGATCTCTCTTCTACAGTTCTTGCTTGCAAAATATCTTTCTTTTTCTGTTTTCTTTCCTCGATAAGATTCCAAGTTTCATCTGACGTCCATTCTTTTTTATGTTTCTCTTTTTTACCCAGTTTCTTTTCAGCTATTTCTGTCAAAACATCTGCCAAATCTTCCCAGCTATTTACTTCATGTTCTCTTGTTTTGAGTTGGAATGCGCCGCTAAACATGTGTCGTCCTGGAGCCGTTTTTAATTTGTCTGTTGGTTGGTTGGTGTTTCGAGTGATTTTGTTTTTTGCCATCTTGATTTTAATACTACTGATTACGAAATGATGGTCACTGGCGATGTCTGCTCCTCTTTTATTACATACATCAAGAAGAGATAATCTCCATATTTTTGATATGGCGATGTGGTCTATCTGATTTTCTCTTATATGACCTGGTGCAGTCCATGTAACCTTTTGGATATTTTTATGTGAGAAGATGGTTCCACCAATAACTAAGCTATGATTGGAACAAAAGTTTGTAAAACCCTCTTCGTTTTCATTCATCACTCCCAGGCCATGATTTCCCATTACAGTTTCTACGTTAATTGGCGATGTCAAACGAAAGAGGCGGCACGGTGCGGTAAAAATTTGAACTAGTGCACGTAGGATAACAAAACATTTTGTATTTAGGTATTACACATAACATAGTTATAAACATTTTAAATATTATTAAATAAAGCACAATAAGGTAACAAAATGTTATAAAGTAAATGTAAACAGTATTGCTCTGCACGGTAATGCAGTAATTATCGACCGGAAGGAATAACTATGCACTTTTTTACTCGTGACAACAATCTACAAGATCGTTGGGCACAGGAATTAAAAAATGGGAAATCGATATCAAGTGATATGATGGTGTGTTCAAAAAATTTTTATCAACAGATTTTTTTTCAAGTAAATTTGCTGAAAAGAATTGCAACATTTATTATATATAATATAATGTACCTACCTAACCTAATCAAATATATACACTAACATAGATCTTAATTAAAATTTCTATTACAACTGCAGCAGGGCAAAAGAAACTTTTAAAGAAAGGTGTTATTCCCTCTCAATGCCTTCTTAAAGGAAAACACGAAATAAAAATCAATGAGGAACTGGTAAATGCTACACTAAAGCGTAATAAAACACACGCACATTCCTCCCTGGCGGGCTTTACAAGTGCATTTTACCACCCACTCGTCTCTTAACACATCCACAGTGATTTCATGTGTGGCACCATTTATATTAGTCGTTTGCAGAAACAAACCGACTAATTTGTTATTATAATTGCCACACAACACAACGTGGCCAGCCTTTAACAAGGCCTCGCCTTCTTTTAAAGGTCTATTTGTGTCTCCTATATATTTCAAAATATGGAGCAGACTAACTTCAATTTCTTTATTTGCCATTGCGTTAACAAAAAAATAAATGGAAGATAATAAATACGAATAATTTTTAGACACAACAATCATTCACCTACAAATATTATGGTAGCTTTGTTTTGTTCTCCTACGTGCGTAATCAGCTGTACATCTGTCAAAGCGCCCCCTATAGTTTGTTGACATCGCCAATATTGTCTTCTCCAACTTTAGCGTTTATATCGCATATCACTATTAGTATATCGCCTTGGCTTACTTCTTGGTTTGTTTGTTCTAACTGTTCGTAGAAAATGTTGGTAAAAGCTATGGCCTGCAATAATGATGTATCACAATAAAAAAAAATGTGATCCTGCACCTATTGCCAACCAGTTTCAAAATTTATCAGTAAGAGAATTCGAGACAAGTGAAGAAGATTTCATTGTATCTGATTCTCGAATAAAACTAGACTATGTTTATCAAAATGCTACGTCTGAATGTAGCACGTCTGAACGTTCTTCTTCTTCTTCCTTCTAGTATATAGGCTTTAAAGCCTATCTCTTCTTCGATATTAGCCTCATAAATTGTCGCACGATCTTTTTCTTGGTCTGTCAATACTTCTTCGTCCATTTGGTGACTAATCTCGTGCTATTCGTACTATTCTATCCTCTGCCATTCTACTGATATGTTCGTTCCACTCCTGTTTTCGTTTTGTCACCCATCCATTGATGTCATCTATATTACATGCTCTTCTTATATTTTCGCTTCTCTCCCTATCCAATAGACTTTTCCCTGATATTCGTCAGAGTATTTTCATCTCTGTTGTTTCTAGCAGTCGTCTCGTTTTAGATGTGTCAGGTCTTGTCTCCACCGTGTATGTTAATATAGGTCTAATTGCTGCTTTATAGATTCTTGTTTTTGTGTCTTGTCTTAGGTGTTTCTTCTTACAGATTGTGTCATTAAGAGAACCCGTCGCTTTACTTGCTTTTAAGCTTTGTTGTCGTACTTCTTCAACATCTCCGTAACTAGTTATATCTATTCCCAAATATCTAAACCTTGCTTCCTGCTTTATTATTTTCCCATCAATTTCGATTTTACACCGTATTGGGTATTTAGATGTTGTCATACATTTGGTTTTGTCTGCTGATATTATCATATTGTATTTCTTAGCTGTTTTATTGAAGATATGTGTTAATCTTTGGAGCTCGTCTTCTGCCTCGGCGATTGATGCGGCGTCGTCTGCATAACATAATATTTGGATTTCTTTGTTCCCTATTCTGTAGCCATGACCTTTACGTAATGCTTGTATTACTTGGTCCATTATTATATTAAAGAGAAGTGGGCTCAACGAGTCACCCTGTCTGACTCCGCTTTGTACTGGTATATACTGTGTTAGTTTTCCATTTATCTTTGCCTGTATTCGATTTTGGAGGTAGATGTTTTCGATGGTTTGTATAATATTGATTGGTATGTTTCTTTTATACAGTAGGTGTAAGACGTCTTCAACTTGGATGCGATCGAAAGCCTTTGTCAGGTCTATAAAACATAAATATGCTGGTTTATTGTACTCGATGGATTTTTCTGTGATTTGTCTTAGTACAAATACGGCGTCTACGCAGGATCTTCCGGATCCGAATCCCTGTTTATTATTTTCCTTTGCTTTAAACAGTTCCGTCAGGTATCTTTCCCATTCGTTTGCTGGAATGTTATTGTATTCCTTAAATTCTGCCATTTCTTTCCATTGGTTTCTTATAAATCTCCATATTTGTTTTTGTGTACCGTAGAAGTCGCTTTCCATCCTTTTTTTAAACTGTTCCCATTTTTTGTTCTTCTTACCAACTGCTTTGTTTCATTTCGTATTCTTCTATAGTTCTCTCTAGATTCTGGGGTATTTAATGTTTTGTACTTCATGTAGGCCTCTCGTTTCTCTTTACATTTCTCTTTTATTTCCTTTCTGAACCATGGTGTATTGTTGTTGTTTCTTTTGTTCAGTATGACTTCGCGTTTTCCTAGAGCTACTGTTGCTGCTTCTTCAATGTTTTTAATTTTCTCCCAGCTCGCGTTTATATCTTCGACGTCGTCTATTTGTTTCAGCTGTATCTTCTGTGCTAGCCTCCTTTGGTACATTTCTCTTGTAGAGTCGTTCCACAATGATTCTATATTGAATTTTTCCTCGGTGATTTCCTGTAGAAAATTTTGTTTTGGTGTTATTTTCATTCTTATCTTTGCTAGTACTAGTTTGTGTTCACTCCCTACGTCTGCTGAGTTTAAAGTTCGGATATCTAGAATTTGCTTTGGGTGGATTTTTCTATTAGTGACTATAAAATCAATAATATATTTATGTCCCCTGGAGTTTTCAAATGTATATTTATACTGGAGCTTATAGTCGAAGAATGTATTATTGATTCTGAGTTCGTTAAAAGCACAGAGATTAGCCATGAGTTATCCATTTGCGTTGACGTGGTTTTCATTAAATCTTTGTTTTACTCCTGGAACTATTTCATTTCCGATTCGTGCATTAAAGTCACCCATAAGAATTAAGGGTTCTTCATGAGGTATTCCATCCAGGATGGTTTGCAATTGTAGAATGACTAACGTGGACCCTTAAAACATCAACCGTAAATTGACTGGAGGCCTATGAAATGTGGATCTACCGGAGAATCCTCAATATTTCATGGACATGGCTTACCTCACTGGAAGAAATGCTGAACAAAAATTTTCAACACAGTGAAAATTAGAAAAACTAGGCTACATAATGAGAATAAATATGTACCAATATACCAAAAATAGTAAAAGGAAAGAATGAGGGAAAAAACTAGAAAGGAACAGACTATCGTTGATAAGAAACATCCGACAATGGACAATAGACAGGGCTAAATTTTAAACATCTAATACGAAAAGCTGAAGACAGAGAAGAGTTTGTAATTGTAGTAATAAACCTCCATTGAGGAGAGCTAACTTTAAGACGAAGAAGAAAGAAGATTTAAATTCTTCAGATATAGCATTTAATTATTTCAATACCTGCATAACATGCACCTAATTCTTCGAAACAAGCGAGAAAAAGTTTTCAAACAAAGCGTATAATATGCTCAAAAAACAAACCTCAATTAGATTACTTTAAACTGTGTTAACAACTACATAATTAGTTAAATGGGAGATATGTTATAGTTATAAAAAAGTGTAGAACATTAACACAAATATACAATATACGTTGTACCTATTCCCTTTATGAAATGCTTTATTTTATTTATCGTTTTTATTTTATTCTTTAATATTATGGAATTAAAGTCTTACCGTCTCTGTAAAAAGTAGATCTTCTTAGAGTCGTTACCATTTGACTTTAAGGCGAGTTTCTCATTACTTTTCGCTAATTCGACTTCTAGTCTGCGTATCGTTGACTGAAGAACCAGAGGATCTGGTGGACCACAATACTCCAGTGGTAATGGATAGCGAATTCTAAAACAAATAAAGATATAATTATCTGTCATTATTACTAAAGAAAAGAAAAATACATCGATTATCCTACTCTTCTTCTAATATATTGGCAATAATAACTTTGTTTACAGCGGCTTTAAAATAAATTGGCAGTGGTCTCTTGATACCTCAATCGGAGATTTCGAAGCCAGGATATTCTTCTTCGGCCTGGACCTCTCCTTCCAGCGATCTTACCCTGTATTATGAGAAGATTATACTTTTCTGGAGGTCTCATTTCATGACCGAAATATTTTAACTTTCGAATTTTTATTGTTTTTGTTATTTCTGTGCTCTTTCTCATTCGATTTAAAACTATTTCATGTCTTATTCGATCAACCCAACTTATCCGCAATACTCGTCGATAAATCCACATCTCAAAGGCCTCCAATTTCTTCTTCATTAATGTCTCTGTAAGGATCCAGCTCTCCATACCATGCAGCCATGTGGAGAATATGTAGCAGCGTATTAATCTGATTTTAAGGTTTAACGTAATATCTCTATCAATTAGAATTTTCTTTAATTTATAGAAGGCGGCTCTGGTTTTTTCAGTGAGTATTCTAATTTCTTTATTTATATCCCAGTTATCGTTAACGTTTGCGCCCCAATAGGTAATATTATGGACTCTTTCTAACTCTATTCCATACCTTATTAAAATATCTTAAATATATTTAAAAGATCTTGTACTAACTATTTTCTAAACAATCAATTATTTTCTGTTGTTTTTTTTTTCTATTAAAAGCTTTATGACTCTTTACAACTAAATAAATTACAAGGTACAATTAAGGTATTCAAATACAAGCTCTCGAGACCATTGTGAAATTTTAAAAATTACGTTACTCAGGATTTCTTGAAATTTATAACATCCAATTTTCTCATTCCCCTTATAACGATAGGCAGAGGGAGAGGTCCAGTAGGACCTATATAGCTGCTATTGGTGTGGCTGTAATTACAAAACAAGCAGGTCTTTGCACATGGCACTTTTTTGCTGCAACTTTGTAAACCGAACTACCTACTAAGTTGTTATTGGTGTTAACATGTTATAAATAGGGGTGAGAGAGGCACCATTCAAAATTTTGTCCTACAAGAGGTCTCCACGCTTCTAAAGAAAACATAAACAATCTTCTGTAGCCCACTGGTATAATTTTGTACAGTATTTGGATGTTTTTTTCGGCGGTCAAGCTTATAATCCGATTAGGAACGTATTTTGGCCGACCAGTGTCATAGAGTACCTATGTGATTGAAACATTTATTTGAACTAAATAAATATATTTTTTAAATTATATTTTTGTTTTAATAAAACTTATAATAAAATAAAATATTTTATTCAAAAATAAAGTTTTTTGCCATTTGTAAAAGATACATTTATTTAATTAAGGGGGAAGGCACCAAATGTGTTTTAAATGTATCCATTATTTTCGAAATCGGAGAAAACTAATAAATATTTTTGAAAAATTTAAAAGCAGAATGAAAGATTACATTATTACCGAGGGTATTATATATGTGTATACTGATGTATATTACAGAAAGTCCCTGAAAACTTCTACAATGTTTATTTTATTATGTTACGCCACAGGGGTGAAAATAAAAGAGAGAATATAGTATAATTTTTAATTGAAAATATTGCATGCAAAAGAAACTTTTTATTTATTCTAATAAATATTTCATTCTGCTTTTAAATTTTTCCAAAAAGGCTTTTTAGTTTTCTCAGGATTTGAAAAAAATCGATACATTTAAAACACATTGAACATTTTGACAGGCGACGTTTTGCGCCTTTCCCCTTTAATACCTTACGATTACAACTACTATCACTTACCTTATATAATTACGATTAGAAAACTATTCAAATTCAAAATAAATAGGATCAACTTCGGAATCCGAGTCGTCTTGAGGGTTAATAATTAGCGGTTGTGTCTCTACGGTCGCATCAATTATGTTATCAAGATCCCACATTTTTTGTTCTTCTTCTATTACATGTCTTACTGCATCTTTCCAGTTTTGTTCTGTAATGTGTTGTAAAGACCCGTATAACAATTCACGTACAGCTTGTATTTTATATGACGTATTTTTTCTAGTCACATAACTTTTCATTTGTGCCCAAATGAGTTCAATTGGATTTAGTTCGCAGTGGTAGGGTGGAAGTCTAAGGACTGTGATGTTTCTCCTTTCCGCCATTTTGTCAACTACGTATTTCTTGAACTTAGATTTGTGTTGCCGGGCAATTTTTAAAAGTTCTGCTTTTACCATTCCATCTTCGTAAGGCAGGTACTTATTCCGCAGCCAGTCAAGAATATCCTGTTTTTTCCACGCAGTCGTTGGAAGTCTTTCTACTAGTCGTGAATGATAAGGTGCATTATCTAATACTATAATTGAATTTGGTGGTATGTGTTCAATCATCTGCACAAATACTCTTCGAAAACATCAGCTGTCATCTCCTCGTGATAGTCTTTTGTGCTTTTGGACTGAAATTCCAACAAACCATGCTTAACAAATCCTTTTTCACTGCCAATGTGAGAAATTATTAATCTACTGCCTTTACCAGAAGGTGGGGAGATACCAGTAGACCAGCCTTCCATAAAGGCTTGCCTGGAGCTTAATATATTTTTATCTGACCAAACTTTTTTTAGAGTATGACCTGAGTTTACCCATGATTCATCCTGGTAGAAGATTGGCCTTCCTTCAGCCCGGAATTTTCGTATGGATCTTAGATAATTTCTTCTCCAACATATTATCTCCTCCGGTCAATCAAAAGTGATTTTCGGTCTGATTTCTCCCACCGGAAATTTAATTCTTTTAAAACTTGCCACAATTTAGTTCGTCCGATATGAGGCAAATCCGGATCATCTCTAACTTCTTGTAAAATTTTATTTAGGTTTGGTATTTCTTTTTTGAAAAAAAATCCATGAATTTTCCTTTAAATACCATTTTTGGCAAATTCATCAAGTTCAATAGGCTTTTTCTTTCTCTTTAAGTGTTCGTTTGTGTTAGCTATACCGTGTTTTTTTCTTTCTGATAGAAACTTATATATAGTTGACTCCCCTACGCCAGTCATGTAAGCAACAGTACCGGTGTAAAACTTGATGATGAAGCCATCACAAACAATCCAACAAAACGAGCACGAGCGAAAGGTACGTATATGTTCGTAGGTATATGGAATAAAAAATCACTCACGCACTGCATATAATTCGCAAAAAAAATATTCGAGACGCTAATTACTGCCGTAGAAGCGGAAACACCGACGAGCCGTAAATTACATGCGATCAAAAACGTACTAAACAAACAAATTGTTTTCGTTCGTAATAACTTCACCCTTTTAAGTTAAGTTTCGAATATAAACTAAACAGACGAGGTACGTGGCCAAATCCGGCATCTATACCCATTATATTATTAAAAATCTGGGGAATTCCATCCTAATTATCTTGCAACCGATAGTACCTTCGGATATAAATACCATGTTTTCTAGTAAAGTGATTAAACGCGAAGATTAGTATTGAAATATCCAAAGAGATAAGGTATTCTTATTTACAAAATTGTTAATGGTTAAATTATTATTTTTATTAATATAATATAATAACCAACATTAGCCGTGAAAATTTTAATTGGTTTTTACTAAATATATCAGTATTAAAACATTATTAATATTAATTTAAATGAATAAACACCTCAGGAACGCCTATGATGATACAAATTTTACGACCGTTTGATGATTTTGAGGCATATTTCGTGCTATCAACAATTTGTGAACAGAGAATAAATAAAATTAAAGATTGGGGTCTTTCGGTGTACTTCCTATTGGAGGGAGATGGCAGTTTCCGAACTACATAATCTATTTGTATTGTGGAAATATCCTTGATTTCAGGAAAATATAATGTTGATCCTTTCTCATAAATGACACATGTAATTCACTATGCACTTTTTCTTTGATTTGAGTAACGTAGTGAACAACAGTTTTTTGTACAAAATTTAACAATAATCTTGTCATCTACAAACAGGTTTTCGAAAAACAAATCATCAAAAACACATTCATTCCAACGATGAAAAAACTTTTTCACTAAAAATACCCTATTCTAATGTCTTTCAGGCCGCTGAATCCAAATATGATGCTTACAAAGCTGTATCACCCACAATTTCTTCACATTTTGTAGTAACATTTTTTTAATTAAGCGATTTCTACAGAATTTAACATATACTATAATAGTTTAAATATAATCAAAAAAGTAGAGGTAATGGACTTAAATTGTGCTGGTAGCACTGCTGAAACATACTAAAAGATCAAAAAAGGTAGATTCCATTTGAACGTTAACAGCTGATGTTTGTTTACTGTCAATCTAACCTCACTTTCACGGTTTTTGTACACGTGCTCAACACAATGTCTAACCGCGGTTGTAAAAACTCTGTTGACAGTTTTTGTTATATTTGTGGTGAGTTTGTGATTAAAAAACACCAAAGAAACATTACGGACTTTGTGAAAAAGGTTTATCGATCATACTTTGGAACTTTACTTGGCGATCAGGATAAATCTTGGGCGCCGCATAAGGTATGTTATGTATGTGTTGAAGATCTAAGAAAATGGTCAAAAAAGGAGAAAAAATCCTTCAAATTTGCAGTTCCTATGATATGGAGAGAGCAAAGAAATCATTCTGATGATTGTTACTTTTGTAGTGTTGATGTAACTGGTCACAACTCAAAAAATAAGAAGGTAATAAGCTACCCTAACCTTATGTCTGCCATCCGACCAGTGAAACACGGTCAAGATATGCCGGTCCCTGAACCTCCAGATGATTTGGATTCCATTCAAACTGAACCATCTTATGATGTAGAATCTGAGTTAGGTGAACAAGATGATGAAGAATTTCGATGTATTACAGAAAATGTAGAGCCTAAATTGTTTACTCAGATTGAACTTAATGACTTGGTTAGGGATCTAGGCTTAACTAAAGAAAAAGCTGAATTGCTTGGCTCTAGACTAAAAGAAAAGAACTTGT